CTCTAAAGTCGTTTGGATTTTATTCGCTTGGCAAATGTAAAGTAGATTTACGGAGAACGTAAAATAAGCGATAAAGTAGATTTACCTATCCGTCTTTAATCTTTAGTTCATGGGCTATTAAAACCGTTGGCTACAGACAATAAATCGAACTTCATTGCTCTCTAACTTTATCAACTTTTAACCTCCCCGCATTCGAAAAAAAACTCCAATGAAAATTTATTAGTTTTTCCCAATATTCCGGATTACAGTCGATAAAAACACATTAAACATTTTCACACTGTACTAAATAAGTGTAGGTACACGCTGATACGAGGGCGATACCAAAAGTACGCCCTAGTTCGGATCAATTTAACATTTTAAATAAATCATACCGGTATAAAAAAAGGCAAGTAAATATATCAAAATCGACTCGCACTTTCGGGAATGAACTTACCTCGAATTTTACGACTCGGAGAATTCTCCTTTCAGGTCACGTCTCAAATCACCCTCCGACCCGCTCAAAAATTTCGCGAAACGTTCTCATCTCAAATTTCGTTAAATAAAAGTGTATTAAAGTATTTCTCGAGTCGATTAGAGGCGGAAAGAAGATTTCCTCCATTATATTTCGGTATAGAAAATGTATCGAGTGCTATCGATAATCGATACAAAGGTCCAGAAAAGAGGAGGAATTACACGGGAAAAATTGGTCGAGCGCCAGTTACACACTTTCTACTAATTGAACATAGTAATGGCGGTGTAGTTTTTATTGATAGGTTGATTTATCTGGGGTATAAATCAGCGGGGGTTTCGTTTATTGGCAACCATTATTTAGAGCATTGTTTCGGTTGTTTGGCCGAGCGGACGTCTACGAGGTACGAGATAATGGTTTCTATTTTCCTTTTTTTTGTGTATATTCATCCAACCGTCTTATACGAGGGGAAATTCGCCTTCAAAACAAAGTTCGATTTGCGGCGGGGTAGTTGCTTAATGACGCTTGAAAACGAAATCGGATCAAATATTGGCGAATAATGACTTTTCAATAAAAAGAAAGAACCCCAAAAAAATTCCCTTCACCTGATAAATTGATGGTACAAAATCTGCGCGTACGGAAATACGTAAATCGCCGGGTTTCCTCGAAAACTTTTAATAAAACAAACAAAACTCGACGGCGCGAACCTGCGAAGCCCATTAGAAGAATTTTCTTTTAAAATTACCCGACCGTTTAAGTAAAAGTGCGGAAAGCCCGTCTCTTGTTTGCTTGTGCGGGAGAATTACACTCGCCGAGCAGGTCGTGAAAGCGGGTTTGTAGTTGTTTTAACGGTCGGTTGAGAGTCGCAATAAAATTCGGGGATGAATTAGGGGACACTCGCAGGCGTCGTTACGCTGCCTCCCTACAATGATGCGATATTAACCCTTTATTATTCCGCACTCCGGAGCGTTCCCGGCGTTCCATACATTGTGCCCGACTTGTTTATAAACATATACAAATGACGAATTTATTATAGATATAACCCGTAAAATGTAAGATGTATACATGAAAGCGTTATGGCGTTAGTTTCATGCTCTTAATTTATGAAATAGTTAACAAGAAAATTAAGGTGCAGCTAAATTTATAGAGTTAATTATAAGAAATAAAGTAGCAAAAGAAGGAAGAAACAATTGTATACACCATCTACACCGAAATTAACAAGGATAACTCAAGTTAAATGGCGTTTTGTTGGCACCATTTGCCGGGTTGGTGTTTGATTTATGAAATGTCGACCGCCCTTAATAATCCCTCAAAATTTCGTGACGTTTTGATTAGTAGAAGTAATATTAGTTTGCTTATACGTGCCGCGCTATTAATTATACGAAAACAATTATTATGAACGTCTTCATTAAGCGTTTCGAATTACCCGGAATTAATTGGAGTTTTTATTTCGAGCGGGTATAATATCGCTATTAACCCGTTTGTTATATCAATGCGCTAATCCAATTGGAAGCTTACGATGCCGTTTGTCACTTAAATCTGGCAATTTATTCGAAAAGCTTTCGCTGCAATTGCGCCATTCCTTACTCCTGGCATCTTCCGTAATTGCATTTAACAATTTTATTTAACAATTGCGTGCGATGCAATTAACCCGATTGTTAATTTCCGATTGTTTAGGAGAATGATGATGCCTGATGATCGAAGTTTCGGCGGAAGGGGCCAATCTAAATTTATTATTAGAATAATGCGAAATTCGTAGCGAAAAGAAAACGTTAAGCGGAATAATTCCGTCGCGTTTTTAGAAAAGAGAATTCGCATTTCGATTTACGATTGAATATCGGGCGTTTACGATGCGACATAGCCGATGGGAAATCGTAAAAATTTCTCCAATTTCGACGCTTCGTCACGTTTATTGGCGTTTAAGCGAGAAATATTTACTTTTTTTTGATTAAACAAAACTAACAAATTATTCAGGAAGATGCACCTATACGTTCTTCTTCAATAAATTTCTCATGCACAATTTAGTTGCTTCCCAAGATACCAATTTGATATTAGAGAAATTATCGTTTTAATTAATATAACGAATTTTGCAAAGTTCCCGGAGAAACGTCCAATGTTCGCCTTGTATTAAGAGCACCATTTTGCATCTCGTTCGAGCCACGTGTGTACCTATCGGTAAAATTAGACTAATGAAAGCGGAATGTTAGTCCAAAATGGGCAAATAAAATTCGCTCCGGGTTATGTATGCACTGGAAAGTTTCCTTTTCGCGTGATACGTGTATTCTCAAGTAGGTTCCAACAAAATTAATTAATTAATTAAGTAATACGAACCCCACACGTGAAAACGGAATCACAAATTACATACTTTAGTTCGGAGAAATTTGATTTGTTATTGGGTAACATACACATTGCTTGGTATATTCGATCTAGTACTGGAGGCAGTACAACAACGGACGATGCTTGGTATAAAAATCAAGATTCAGGAGCATCTTCGTTCATTTCATTCGTTGTTGTTGCTCGCGGCGATTTATTACAAAACCGTTGCATTTTCCCGAAATGCATTTGCCGCAGTCCGAAACGAGCCGGCCCTCCCTTTGCACAATCAGCAAACGAATTGGGAAATTCGATCGAGAGCGCGCCTCTTCTAATTCATCCCCCGCCTTTAATTAGAACGTGATCGTTGTTGGGGGGATTTTACAAAGAGACTACCGCAGGTATGTACGCAGCCCCGTAGGTTACACTTTTATTTTCCTGCAGCACCCCTATACAATAGCGATTCGTGATACAGGGTGATCGGTAATTTATTTGAGAACTTACTGTGTTATATTTCGATACAAACAATCTTGTTTTTACCATTATTTCCGTTATCGTTAGGTTCAATCTTCCAATAGTAATGTAGAAAATGTATAAACCAATATACACGCCGTCAGCATCGTCAATAGAATTTAGCATTGTTTCCGGGGAATAAATAAAAATACATCCTTTGTGCGGTGTACATTCAAAAGGAAATTATTTGTACGGTCTTATTTTCGTTCGAAAACAACGATTGTTTATTTTTTATCGTTCCGATGGATTCGGTTTTTACTTATACAGAATTGTATCCGACATGTGCGCTGTAAAAGTGCGATTCCTGAAGGAATTTCGGGAGGAAACTACGCACGCGTTGTTGGGAAATTTTTTTACGTTCTCCCGACTGGTTGGGTTTTTTCCGATGAAAAATTTCAGGGATTCGAATCCGGAGAAAATTGGCTTCGACTTGGTGTCGCTGAAAATGGCGTATTCGTTGATTATTTCGTTGCTTCTGTTGTATTTCGCTTTTTTATTGTTTGTTTTTAAGAAGCCAGGGATGGGTAAGTAAATTTGCATTGAGGGCAATTTGTATTCATTAAATTGCCATTTCATTATTTGCAGACGTTAGTATTCCCGTGTTTATATCGGTGTCTATTCTGTTCTCTATCGAAATTTCTAAAAGGTGGAGACCTTTTATTCTGAAGTTGTATGAATTTGAGGTGGACTTTTTCACTAAATATCCACCGAAAAATTTGAGAAAACGAATCAACATTACCATCGTCTTTCTAATAATTACAGCACACAGTGAGTACAGTAGAATTTATAGTATTAAATGGGAATGTTTCCGAATTAATCCTTTGATAGATCTTTTTAAAGTGTTAGGAAGTTTCAACTCTTAATTACTGTTTTAGAAATTTTGCAATAAACAGTTTTTTAGACATTGAAAATTGATTGAAAAGTTGCTCTACGCTTGTTTATTTTAATTATAAATTTGTAATTTCAAACTTTCCAATTCAAGTTTTTAATTATAAATATATTTTCGACACTCAACTTATTAAAACTCCTTGAATTTTTCAACTTTTCCAATATGCAATGAATATTGTTACAAAGTTAGGTACCTAATATATATTCATACTGTATAATATAATAAAATCATTGTATAAATATACCTACATTATTTTTTTATCATAATATGAAGAAGCAAATCTTACATAAAAAAATAAATAAACATTTGAACTAATTAAATTTTTATTCGAAGTTATTCCATGTATTAAAACACTCATTGATGTGATCGTAATGGAGTTGAATTTAACCGCAGACTCTAGCAAACATTCCTTCAATACTATTATAATAAAGTTTGTAAGTTGTCGACTTTTAATATTATAAACTCATTTCAATACAAGTGGCATCATTTCAGGTATACCCAGTCTTTAAAACCCTAGGTTGGAATTGCATCGACATTTTAATAATAATATTGAGCATTATATTTTCGAGCCATCTCAAGCAGCTATCTGACTGTCTCAAAAGAGAAGTAGCGATTATACGACAGGAAAAGATTCTCTTGTCGCGGAAAATTGTAAATAATTTATTAATTTTAATCATGCCGCTTTCCTCTCTGACTTTTTCTTCTTTGAGCATCAGGTAATTAAATTTGAAAATATTTCAGGAACGGTTTAAATTCGTTTCGAAACAAATTAGAACAGATTACAACAAGTTAGTCGACTTGTTAATGGAATTAAACGAGATTTTGGCCAGAGTGATAATGTGCTCGTACTGCTCCAATATTTATTTAATTCTTAAGCAAGTAAACGATTTGAGTAGGTGAGTTATTACTAATTTCGTATGCGCTAAACGTATAGAATTATGATGTATTTTAGAGTAGAAAATAGATCATTTGCTACAGTAGGTTTCAATTTCATGTGCTCGATCGGCTTGACTATTTCAAAGATTATTATTCTAACAATTAGTGCGGAAAAAATTACAAGAAACAGCAAAGGATTCATAAAAATTATTTTGGACGTTCCCAATGAATTTTACAACACCAGCGTAAGTAACATCCGCAATAGATTAAATAAAAGTGTTTGATTTTAATGTATTTGATGTTTAAAATATTGTGTAATCACTCTGATTATTGTTCGATTAATTTAACATACAAAATCATTAACAGGTGTTTAATCATTTTATGTATTTCAGTTGAAGAGATTGTTGACACAAATCCAGTTCAATCCCGCAACTTTAACCGGTGGAAACATGTTCAAAATCACCAAATCCTCTCTAATGCACGTGAGTATCGCCTACAATTACCTAATGTTATTGGGATTAATTGTTTTTTTTGCAGATTACAGCATCAGTAATAACGTATGATGTAGTGTTGAACGAATTCAGCGAATAAGTTATTAAAAAGAGGGATTAAACAGTATAGTAAACACGTAGAATATTTCAAATTCAGCACTTTTTCTCTTAGTCGCCTTATTGAAGTAGCGGTATATGGAGTTTTCATTGCGTTAATTGGAGAAATAAAGCAAACATTAACAGTGCATAATCCATTATGTCCGGGGGGATAGTGTTCGCGTATCCATGGAGCAATGACGTTGTTACACAGCAGCCGGCTGATGTTTATTCAGCTCTGGATAATGACGTGCGAGTTTCGCGAATTGATTTCGCTGAAAACCCACTCGAAATGCCTGTTTTACATTTACCATCGAAACGGATGGGCAAGTGTCCGTTTCGATTGAACAGCGCAAACGGATATAAAAGCATCATCGTTACTGTATAATTGCAAGTAAAATATGTTCAATTTTAAATAGAGAGTGATGAGAAGATTGTAGTATCTGGCAACGTTGGTTTTTTCTTCGATATATATTTCTTCGTATCAATTTGTACGGTTTTTTTAGCATATTTACATTTCGCAAAAAAATCAATCTATTTCGGTTTCCCGGAGGAAAGTGCAATAAATAACGACGAGATAAGTGATACTTTCATAGCTTTGAGCGAGTCGTGAATGCTTTTCCCATTTTAAATCTACTACATCGACTTGAGATTCGGACTTGTTAGTCCCCGAGGACGGGATGAGGGAATAAGGGGGCCCTATATATTCCCTTTTTGCGCCGACTGCCAGTTTTCATTTTCCCTTTTTTTCCCTATCGCAAATTCGGCGCGTATATGAATAATAAAACAAGAAGAATACGTGTATCATGCGTGTATATATAAAAACGATACTTTTCACTCTGTATAATTTATTACTCGTTGAAAAATAAATTGGGGCGCTTACGTATGGCACATTCATAATAAATTCCAATTTATGTTACACCCACTTAACTACCAGTGTAATATATAAGTTTTTCTCCTCACAAAGGCTCGCATGTAATTTATTTTGTTGGTGATAAAGAAAACTTTTGCGGAGTGATAGAGTTTAAAAACAGAGGGCAAACTGTGTTAGTAAAGTTTAGTTACCTAAACGTGAATATCTACTGTTTTGTTATAAACTGGGAGTTTCGTGATCTGGCAACAAGCGATTATCGTCGATTAAATTTAATTCGGTCGAAAAGTTAGTTTGCATTCCGGCATAGTACAAACGCTTCCCTCTTTCCTAGAATTTATGGAATGCTAGCAGCGACGGAATATGGCCGCGATATGAAGTGCCTGAATATAAATCTCTTCAACTGACCCTTTAATAGAGGGACGTGGACGGTATATTTCACAGTACACTCGTCCATTTTCCATTCCCGTGACTTTTATACCCTATTCATAAACCCCGCGACTTTTATCGAGTCGGTATTTCAGTAGGGCCAGGTTCGTTGTACAAATTTACGTCGAGAAATAAATAGTTTTCCGATAAATTTTCAGCGAATCGCCAAAATGAATACTAATATCGAGAATGCACGACAGGATAAACGAAGAATCGCGATAACGCGACAGGTTGCGATTAATTTTAGTCGAGTTTATAATTCGTAAATGAGTTAGCGGAGCGTTTTTAATTCCTCGATCACGTTCGTCTAATATTTCAAGAAGTTTATCGCTTCAGGAAGGGAAATAAGTAAATAAAACTTTCGCAGACTTCGTGCAGGTTTATCTGTCGTCCCGGGAGGAAGTCGATTATGAAGGGAGAAGCGCCGAAAGCGCTGCGTTGATGGCTGAAAAAAAAGCTTCCTCTGTTCGCAGTAAGTGGGAAACAACTTCACGAGAAAGATTCCACTTGTCTGATACAGAGGATAGAAATTAATAGACGTATAAAAAGCGTCTCGAGAATGCGTACGGGGTGGACGATGAAAATCCCAATTTATTTACATTTTTTTTTCTACTGAAACAAATTTGTTTCGTAGTTATTTCAATCTGGAGGAATGTTTAAGGCGATTTCGGCATCCGTTTCACTCGGAAAAGAATGTCGAATGACTCTCGACCGTCTTCATTTCGCCGAATCTCCTTTCCCGATATATAAGAACTTTCCTCCGCGCTTTTAATATTTTACTAAAGAAATTCTTTTTAGGGAGGCTTTTCTCTTTTCCCTTTTCCAGATGAAAGAGGAAAAACGTTCTGTTAATGGCCGGGAGTCGAGGAATTCGACGAAAAAAAAAACCGACGGCACTCGATATATCATCTTCCCACTTTCCTGAAAGGTTTTTGCTTAGGAAACTTTCCCCATTTAATTAATGCGATGAACGAAAACAAAACAGTAAAAATTATTTAATTAAACGCACGAAATATAGACGGCTCGTTAAGTATCTTATCGGAACTCCGCACGAACCTGAGATTTTTTAATTAGCTAATTAATGCATTCTTAATGTTTTAACAACTTATTACTAAAGGTAATGTATAAAAAATAGCTTAGTTAATTAATTCCCCTTGTGCTAATGGTATTGTAAAGAAAACAGTGCGTTATTCAGATCAACATACTCCACCCCACGTTGAAATTATTATCAAAAAGACAGGAGTAAACACATAATAACGATAACAGATGTAACCTAAAGTGCGTTAACGGGCAATTTGGAATTAATCCCCGAGTCGTATGTTATTCGCAATTTCGCTTTGGTCCTTACCTAAATAACCCACCTTCTGAATTTAATTAAACAACCCCCCGCCGCGTCTTTTCGCCCGGCCCGCCGCCGGCGGTGCCGCGGGGGCATCTCCCCGCCGGAATCCGCGAATTAGTGCGCGAATTAATCGGCCGATTAGGCGAGAAATCGAAAAAAAATTACCGTCCATTTCGGGGGCTGTTATTACAATAACCGGGAGCGGATTGTCGGCGCGCAATTAGGGGTGTTTCGGCGGGCGCCGCGGCGCCCCCGCCGCTGCTCCGGACGCCGGATATTTACATCGGCCGTAACTCCCCCGGATCGGGTATTTAACTTGGAATAATGTAAATTATGGCCGATTTATTGGGCGAATTAAAAGCCGCCTCCGCGCCGGTGATGTCTGGATTTGAAATCGTCGGGGGTCGTAAATTTTTCGAGAGCACGTTGTTATTTCCAATAACAGATGTCCGGGGAAAATCGCTCGCTCGATGACGTTTTTTTTTTATTTCGACCGCCAATTACGCGCGAACATTTTAATTTTACGCCGCGTAATCACCCTGTATATTTTTGATAGGAGGGCTATTATTTATATTGCGGAACGCCGGGATGGGAGGGCGAACTGACGGAACAGTTTGCTGGGATTCAATATATTCTTCAAACAAAATTTTATTATCCTGTTGAGGCGCTCGTCGTTGATATCGACGCTTTTATACTCGCGGCCTTCAAAAGGCCCGGGGATTGCTTATTTTCTTATCGCAATCTTTGTAGCTGTACTAAAGAAAATTTAGTAAACCTCCGAGATATGCAGAAACGGGATATACGCGAACCTGTCGCATAGAATCTCGTTATTAAAAATTATATTACGGAAAAACGACGCGCGAAGCTGCATGCAGATAAAAAATTCCCCTGCATTTGCGTATATTAATCAAGGAATACATCAAAGTGCAAATCCTAGATATAACAATGTTCCTGCGGCGGGGCGAGAGCATGAAAGTTTTTTCCCTCGAGCGCATTTTATGAAGGATTATGTTTGTTCTTTCATCTGGGTCAGTGACATAAAACGAAGGATTATATTTCATGTGAGATTTAGGCACCTAAAGCTTCCCAAAACTGGTGTAGTTCAGTGATATCGGATTTCGTTCATGCTGTAACTCAAATAATTACGGAGCTTCTAACTTGGAATTCTATACATCGGCGGCAACAGAAGGGTCCTGCGGTAGTTTCCTCCCTATATGCTCGTTATTTAGAGAATTTATAGAAGCATTTTTATAGATTTTAGAAGGTAGATACGTAAAATAAATGTGTTGAAACTGTATTTACCCATTTGAGGTTGGAATAAGACGGTTTTGGATTGAGAATTTGCAGGTTTTCTATTCAAATTAAATAGCTAAACATTCGCTGGTATGCGTCCTGGAGTTTTCCGTGCATTTCCCCGTCATAAATGAGACTGGAAAATTCGGATTGGGCGTTTACTGTGTGCGGTTTTTGTTCTATTTCTTCACAACGGACAACTTTTGAATATGAATGTGGAAATTTCTTACTGCCTCGCGAAAGTAAAGAAACTAAATCAACGAACTAAAAGTCAAATATTTAATTGAGTCGTTCTTTGCATAATACTACGTTATCCGAGTGAACTTCGCCTTTACCGTGTAATTGTAACATTCATTTTATCGCGCCGAGATTAGATACCGAGGTATCCTTTTTTCTCCATCCTCTTACAATTAAGTACGATTCCGTTTAATTCGAAAAATCCTCGCCATCCACCCTGCACTTTTCCACGTTTCGAATTTAAACAGGTCTTTTTCGTCGGGTACATTCCGCGAATTTAAAATCTGCAATCCCGCTTTTTCATCCGCACTTTGCATAACCGACGAAGATCTACGTTCTCCGACTTCCAGCTACAGAGGAAGTTGTAATTTCCGGGGACGGCCGTATATCCTCGCCTAAGCGGTCACTTGCTCGGCGAAATCAGTATTTCCGCGGAGTATCTGACCGCCGTAAAAAATCGTATATTATCCCCGGATCCTTGTTAATTACAACTCTACACCGGCACACCATTAACTAAACACATATCTTAAAAGAATCTGCGGAGAGAGCAGACCATTTTTTTGTTACAAATTATCATCTATACGAGTTTTAATCGAATTTACCTGGTGTAGAAATGACAGTAAATCATCTATTAATTAGTAAAATTTTTCATTAAAAACTATAAATTAAGGAACCCCCAATTAATTCTCTAGCGAGTACTCGACGATGAGAAGTTTAAACTTTTCTAAAGCCTGCGGAAACTAAAGAAAAAAAAAGTTGTAAAAGTAGAGGTATCTATTAAAAATATCGAGGTATATTTTTTTGGGGCGAGCCCGGCGAACTATTTGAGAAT